ATATATATATGTATATGTATATACTATGGTCATTATTATCTGTGATCATAATCACCTTTATGCATATTTAAATGAACTTCTTGTAACACCAAGATGAACAGGCACTACACCAGTTAGGAGATAAAAGTACATCACTATGAACATACATCTTCTGGACTGCTAATACGGGGTTTTTTCCACAATGTGAGCTGCATCCCCCTGTGTGCATAAGGAAGAGATCAACATAAAAAAAAAGCATTTACATGTACACCTTTTTACTGTGTCAACATAGGTCTCATTTTCAACTCAACACAAACATACAATTACAATAGAATATAATCTTTAAATTACATCATCATATACAAATCTGACAGCGTGGGAGAACGTCACGCCTTTTATGATACACCGACAACTCCATTGCGATAAAATTCATATGTACCTATTACTGAATATGTTTTCCATTGCTGTAATCGAATGAAACACATTTACATGTATAACACTACATTTTTGTTTTTATAGTCAGTCACTTGCATTTTTTTAAATCAATTTTTTTTTTTACATTTTATGACATTTACACAACTCATACACACTGGATGATAAAGATGTTTTATCCCAAAATATTAACCTGGTGGTGCAGATTATGTGTTTGAACTTGTGTGTATTGGTCTAAAACGTGAGTCTTTGTATGCGTGTGTGTGTTTGCACTGAGCATGTGCGACAGTCTTGACAACACAAATCGTTTTTGCTATTCTGGACAGCTGTAATCTAAGACACACCTTGTAAGCTGGTGATGTGTTCCTCCTCATGCGTGAGAGCAAAATCTGTGCGACTCCTGTTTCCGACACGGAGCTAACCACATCTGACCCCCTGCAGCTTCTGGAACGTTCCTAACCATGTTATCAAAAACAAGTATTTTCCCCAACTTATCAGAGATTTAGCTGCAACTCACTAGTTAAAGTTTGAGGAATGCAAACTCCTTATATAAATAGGATTAGAGCGCAAATAACGAATAAAAAGTTGAAAGCCACCATGGGTGTGCAGGGCACCACTCTTGTGTCTTTTAGCAGTTTTTGCAGACAAAGGAAGTTTTAGGTGGACTGGGAAGCAACTACGAGTTCAGAGGTTTCTCATAAGATATGCATGAAGAGCAAACTGATAGTTACTGGGTCGTTCTTTGGCTCAGCAGGGAAATGAGTCACGTACCTAGTGCATTCAAAGAGGGTGTCTTATGTCAATGTTTGGACCCTCTTATGTCCAATCACTAGTACATTCATGTCCTGTTGGAGAGGTGTCTATCTTCAGACAGTAGTCTGTTGCTCAGTAACGTCTCAGCATGTCCACATTGGCCTTTTGCTCTCGGAACGAGTCGATATGGTTCTGCACGTCCTTCTTACAATGCAGTGGCACCCTCAAGATGACTTGATCCAACTTGGCAATGAGGGAATGTATGTCTTGTGAGCAGAAGTTGATTAAAGTGAGATTTGTTTGAACCATCAATCAAAGCTTCTGCAGCATATCGTAAATCCTTTCCTTGGGTTTTTTTTTTTTTTTTGCATGAGGATGCCAAAGGATTTACAATGCTGAGGATGACACAGATGTTGAAATAATAACAACAACAACGACAACAAAACAAAAGCAAATGTAAAGTTCAGTTCATCAAGAAGCCTTTTCTTGTGAAATCACAAGCACGTGCATGTCCAGAAGCGTGTGTAATGCTGCATTTGTAGTTGAAGTGTTGCATCAAGTTGTAGCCTCAACGAGGCGGCGGGATACGGGGGAATGCAAAGTCTTTGCATAGCGCATGCTGCTATGCAAGTTCAGAAACCGTTCAAAACACACACGCACACGCACACACACACCGGAAAAGAGGCTGGACCAAACTGCGAAGAAAAAACAAACAAACAAATGAACAAAAAACGAGGATACTGTTGGTGGTACTTTAAACACTACACAGCATTCCTGTCGTAAGAACGATGCACACAGCGTTAACAATGCTACACAAAATGGCATCACACTGTAATATATACAATGCAGGTTAGAGAAGCTCATCTTTGTTAAACGGGTCAAACTGATTATATTATCTTCCCTTTTTCACAAGAGAACGCACTGTAAAACACTGAGAGATATAATGAGCTGCTGTTTGAGGCCTACAGCTGCAGGGGGAAGCAATGTGTTCCTGCACGGTTTGGATGTTGTAGCTGAGTGCGTATACACTGGAATAACTGCTGCTTTTGATTGTGTTAGTCCACCCTCCCCCCGATGCTGGATAAAATATGTTATACTGATACAGTGTCTTTTTTTTAATTTTATTTTTTAGCTTACTAAGTTTTTAGGCTTGGCTCTTCTGTGGGGCAAAGGGATGTTTTGCTCTTAAGTCTCTGGCTATGTGCGGTACAGTTGGACGGGGCGGTTCAAGCTGCCTCCAGCGGCACGTCTCTGTCCAATTTATGAGACTAGATGGGCTCAACGTAGTTGGCTGGGTACAGTCCCTCCTGGCCGCTGTCTAAACGACCTCTACACCAGCCTTGCTCGTCTTCGTCTTCGATCTTGGTCAGCTCTTCACCTGTTGAGGAAAAATCAACATTTAATCGTGCATGCTAGATGTTTGTAGGAACCATGCTTTTACACGTTAGATTTTATTTTACTGTCTGCAACAAGTAAGATAATAATTGTTCGTAACCTTTCCTTAGAACCCCGCTTCAAAACGTCAGAACCATTGCTTTTAATAGTCTTCGTAATCCCACTGAGAACACTGTTTAAACTCCCAGGAATAAACTGGTCTGGTGATTTAATGCTGTCCTTCCTTGAAATGTTCCTCTATGCCTAAAAATAAAACACAAGTTGGAAGTAGAAGCAGAATACAGCATGGTCAGCCAATAAATGTAATTTCTTGGAGGCTGCTATAACCTCAATTTCACACTATTAAAAAAACTAAAAAAATAAATAAAGTTTTCATAACAAATAAAGCCAGAGCCAGGAAGAGAGCCTTGTGGAGGAGGCTCAGAATGGCAATTTTACAGTGTTGGCAAATGCCAGATGGGGCTGAACCACACGGTGGACTGAAAGGGCCTTAGAGATGTAGAAAAGATAAAATGGGATGAAGCTTTTCACTTGATGAAACAGCCCACATACATTAGAGATTGTCATCTCGTATAAAGGATCTATAATATAGCACAGATGTAGTCCACCCAAATTTCTATTTCTTTCTGAGGAAGCTGAGGACATTTGGATTACCCTTCAAACTCCTCAACAGCTCCTGCACATACAGAGGAAAGTCCACCTCAGTGTGGAACAGGAAGTGCAGCACTCAGGACAGGAAGGCTCTTCTGCAGGTACTCAAAACACCAAAGTTCATCTGAGGAGTAGTGCAACCACCATCTCTTCGGGACATTTGCACCAACCGGGTCACAAAGAGAGCTCAAAACTTCATTGAGGACTGCTGATTTCTGGACGACGACACAGGAGCGTGAGCGCAAAGACCACCAGACTCAAAAACCATCAGGCTGCTGAATCAGCACGAGGAACAGACAACTGCACACATATTTGCACTTTTACCACTTGCTCTACATGATATCACCTCAAATTAAGCTCATTTCTTATTTCTTATGACCGTGTCTTGCTGTGCATACGACGTTAAACTTCTTTAATCCTGAAAGTGTAACTTCATGTTGTCAAGGGACTTTTGGTAAAAGTTTACGGATGTTTGTCACTAACTAATGCCAAATTAATGTGTGTGAGTTCAGAGAGTTGTTTTTCCTCTCAGAGAGGATATAATATTATAATGCAGTGATAAAGTACAATATATGCTAAAGAAACAGGTTTGCAAATACTTATTGGGCTTAGAAGGTAGTAACTTAGTGTGAAATGTTTAATACAACATCTCTAGATTAAATACATAGGTGAACAGATTTGGCTCATTATTTGGCAAGAAACTGGTCAGTTTTGTCTCTGTCACCCATAATTAATGCATAATAAGCAGTTATTAATGATTTATAAAGTGTTTATATAGGAATGAATAGCATATCTATAAACTATTTATTAGCATCTATAAGAGGAGCCTTATTGTAAAGTGATACCGCACAAAGTCCTCTCTTTGGTTGGTGATAACTCAAAATGTGTACAAGGAGCAGGTGGAGGACGGAGTCTGGATGGAGACAGCAAGAGTTGACTGCTACCAGAGGGCAAACAGCCTCACAGGTGATGCGGCATTAAATCTAGTATTTCATCTAGCCCTTCAAAATAAATAAATAAATAAAACAATGCATTATTTTGGCCTTTTGTAAAATCCAAAGTTACATCCACACATTTAATTCATATGAAGGCTGACGACTGTCATGTAACAATATGGCAAATTAAGTTTTAGAGATTTGCGACCCGTCCAGGGTGTACCCCGCCCCTCGCACAGGGATTGATGGACATGGGCACCGGCGACCCCCGTGACCCAAAAATTGAAGAAGCGAGTAAAAGATAATGGATGGATGAAGTTTAAGAGATAGATCATAAATCTGATTGAAAAAGCTCTACATCACCTCAGTTCATTTCTGTCTAAACCGTGTTGAGACTGTATTTTCATGCATTCATCATGAGTCATCTGTGTTCTACTTAAGAAGGAGATTTAGACATTATGTCCTATTTACTGACTGTGATTGAGAACGATAAACGGTCCCATGTAGTCATTCTTACTGACCAGTCAGTGAGGAACAGAAAGAACTGATTGTTTTGATATCCTCAAGGGTTGCCTGATATTATATTAATGTGACAGAGTTGACATGATATGGTGACATGTCTCAGGCAGAGTCCTTGACTCAGATCCACTCCTTCCTGTCTTCAGGTGGACCTTTCGATGACAGCTTGCACGTGGAAGCCTGGGCTGGAGGTTATTCTATAAAACTAATTTGTCTCGCCCAGAGAGTTAGAGCAGGTCAGGGTTTCTCACGGATGAGAACACTGATAGAGTGTAATCTTGGAATTGCATGTTCTGTGAACTAGCGCTGTCATTTTTAACCCGGAGCCCGACCCCGCCCACTCTGATTCTGACTAGGCCGGGCTATAATAATGTGCTTAATGTGAGGGTCGGGTCGGTGTCAGACTTTTTATTGCGTCAGGGACGCGTGCAGCTGACGATCCAATATATGCAAACATGGCTTGCCATACAGCACCTGCCGCATGCAGCCATTTCACCGCAGGCTGAACGGCAGGTTGAAACAGGTAAAAAGTTCAGTTAAGCTTCAGATGGACTACTGCCAGCGATCCATCAGTCCAAATGGACGTTCATTCAGCCGCTGCACTCAGCGGACGCGTGCGGCCGACGACCCAAACAGGTGAGATCACAAAATATCTGACATGTCAGAGCAGGACGCAGGCAGAAGCATTTAGTGCACTTTGACGGCTCCTCAGCTCCGATCTTCTACACCCTTTACTCAGCCGTGCGCGTCCGCCAACTGTTAATTATAGACGGTGATATATGCTTAATTAAAAATGTCTGGGGTTTCTTCAGGTTCTGACCTGTGTAGTGAACTTGACCTGATGTCAAAACTTGACCTTAGGATCATATGGTCAGAAACTGTCATTTCATTGATTTGCATCCAGAAATACAGGTTGACCCATCCTGAGACTTTCTTTCTTGAATTAATCAAGTGGAAAAAGACAATTCTCTATGATCATTACTATTTTACAAATGTTTTGATAATCAAATTGTGTTAGTTCAAACAATGTTTACATGTTGAAGTGAACTACTCATTTTTATTTACTTAAAACAGTAATAATGATTTTTAATCCTCATTTCAAAGTGAAATCAAGTTAGAGTACGTTACAGAGTAATGATTCAATTTCTTGATCGTCTGCTTTGAAGTGAACAAGTTTTGTAAGTGTGTCGAAGTTCAAGTTTCGGTCAACTGAAAGTTTACTGAAAAGAAATGTCATGTTTAACTTTTACAGCGAGATACTGGGAGAGGTGGCTCCACGAAGTCTGAATTCTCCATAACAATCTTTCTGTCTGTTCTTAAACAATCTGAATCTTTTCCTTGACTTTTAATAACACCTTACATCACAAAACACACCTCTGTTCTGGTCCACCGACCAATCAGAGGCTCTCAAATGCACCGGAAATAGAGCTCTTTAAATGTCGGTACTTCCTAGTTCTCCCCAGTTCCTGTTGGGTCGAAGTTCCAAGCTGGGAAACAGGACATGACCACAGAGCTCTCCCGAGTCTTATGGGATTATAAATCTTCCACCTCTGAGTGGAACTCTGATGGACTCCACTCATGTGAAGTCCACTTGTTGAGGTGAACTGTTGTTGACGAAGTCGCGTCACCACTCCGGATATATCTCTGCCATCCTACGGAGACGCTGAAAGGTAGCGTTAACTGGAGCTCCTCTTCCGCTGATTCATCTTCAGAGAGGTAATGAGTCTAGTCCACTACCGAGCGTACCGAGGAAAGCTGGGTCGGATGGAGGGTGTCGTCCTGTCAACACTTTTCACTCATACACACACCATCTCCCTTCCTCTAAACTTCAATCTTTAAAATTCTTCTATCTGCTAAAATCATTACAGATATTTTTAGAAATGTCTGAAGCAAAGTTCTCAATCACCGCCGTGTGATTTGATGTCTGCTGTTCTGCTGAAAAGTGAAAACAATCGCCGTATTGTTCTCACTCCTATAAAACTGATTGATAAGCTGTCGTTATTTTTCAATTCTTGCCAATTAATGTAAATGTGTGATGTGTTAAACTTGATTCTGTTAATAAATGACCGCATTCATTTTGATGGGTCAAAGATAATTAACGTCTCACGTCCACATTTTATTAAATTCAATGCACGCATGTTATGCAGTCCAGAAAAATGAAAGAACTCGTTTAATTGATGAATATATCACAGGATATGTCATACTACACCTGTAATTAACTGTTAATTTGTCGGATCGAGTGGATTCGGAGATGATGGCTGCGTGCTGTGGCCGGGTCGGTTCGGATTATTTGGACCCGAGTGCAAATCTACTGTGAACAGTGGACTGCTCTCCAAAGCATTGAAAATAAATCAGGTGAAATACACCTCGCTCTGTTTTGGGAATCTCCTTTTTTTTCTACGGCAACCGGAACAAGCAAGCTCTTAAAAGTAATTACTTTGCACGTGCTTAGATAAAGTTTAGTATGCTCCTAATCATGGTCAGACATGTCAAATATTACAATAATAACAAATCAATAATATATGACTGGATATCTCAGTGGTCAGAGGGGATCTAAGATGAGGACACAGCTGTTTGTTCAGCTGCTATTTTTCAGTCTATAGCTTGTTTTCAATCATTCTTCATGCCAGTGTGCACCTCTAATGCACTTTTTGGACCGTTCCACAAACAGCTTGCGCTAATTGGTGCAAAGAGCCTGTAATTTGTTTTCTAACTAGCTATTATTGACTAATCGCTGCTATTTGCTGCAGAGAAAGGCAGCTTTAGAGCATACATCAAGGCAAAGTTGTTGCTTTTTGAGCACCTGCATCACTGTGCTGCAGCCTGTCGTTTCCTCCTCTCTCTCTCTCTGCAGCTATAATCCCATTCCCCGTGTCACCTGCTGCGTCCGGAGATAATTACCCGCTTTGAAGGTGAGCTCATCCTGTTCCTGGCCATCGTAGTCGTAGAGGGCACGCACACGGACTCCTTTCCCAGTGCTGGAGTCGTCTTCGAACGAGTTCCTGTTCCCACCGTTCTCGTTGCTGGAGTACGTTGCGGGCTGCTCGTCATCGGACCACTCGGCTGAATAAGCTTGGTTCTTGTCATAGCTGCTCACACTGGAAGAGAGGGGGCAATTTGATGTGAAATTTGATGCTAAACCTCTTCAAATACAACCCCCCAAAGAATCTCAAAACGTTCTGCATGGGATTTGTTTATTAAAAAAAAAAAAAAAAAGTAATTTCTTGACATTTAAAGGTATTAATTTAACCCTAATTTTATGCTCTAACATGTTTTATTCTGATGAATGACAGAACTGACCTGCTCCGGTCACCAGGTGGAGCCACGTGGTCAGTGCTCGGAGTGGGCGGGGCTCCGTCTGGTTTCTTCTTCTTTGGAGGAGCAGCTGCCTGGTCTGGGTTGTACTCCTGGTGTAAACAGTGTGAACAAAGCCACGAAAGCAAATTAGATGGAAGCAAAGAACTGGATTTGAGTGTGTGTTTTTGTTCAAAGGGCTTGGAGTCGCACCTCAAATGCAGGCCAGTTCATGAGCATCCCTGGGCCATGGTTGTTGCTAAACCACTTCAGGTCCTCCTGTGTGTTTGCAGCCAGAATCGTACGCTCCAGTTCTCTGTATATTGTGGAATAGCTAAGGAGAGGAAAATGGGACAAACAGAGTCCATGAAAGGGACAGCAGGGACACGAGATTGTTGCCAACAAAAATTTAGCCCCACTGAAGTTACTTCACAAGCTAAAGCCTTTAAATGTTTAAATAGATAATTTGTTCATTTTTAAAGTGATGTCCTTTCAATCAACCATCCATCCATCCATCCATCCATCCATCCATCCATCCATCCATCATTTTTAGCCGCTCACTGTGTGAGAGGCAGGGGATATCCTGGACAGGTCTCCAGTCCATCACAGGGACACATAGAGACAAGCGAGACAAACAACCATTCACTCTTTCACCTAGGGACAATGTAGAGTTACCAATCAGCCTAACATGCATGTTTTTGGTCTGTGGGAGGAAACCGGAGTACCCGGAGAAAACCCACACATGCACGGAGAGAACATGCAAACTCCATCCACAAAGGCCCCCGGCCGGGATATGGTCACTGAGATGCAACAGTTCTACCAACTGTGCCACGATGTTCTTTCAATAGTTATCAATAGTTAATACTTTATCAGCCACAACATCAGTCATCGACCATGGAATAAGGTGAATGGAGCAGGTCTTCCTTAGCTAGGCTAATGGCTAACTAAACTTGGACGCCTTTTATATTGTTTTTCAGGCTTAAAAGACAAATCTGTCTAAGTTACTTTTAAATGGGGACTTTTTTGCATGACATCCTTTGTTGAGTTTGTTGCTGTTCTGACCTGAACAACGTCCCTGTTACTATGTGAATGTCGGCCTTCTGCTACAGCTGAATGTTGTTCAGTTCTAAAAAACGCAACAAACGGAACAATCTGTGTCGTGCAAGAGATCATAGAGTTAGTATTAGCTAATGTGGCATCCTTTGGTGTGAAACTTTTGAAAAAAATAGTTTTATGATGCTGAAAACATACTAAAACATGCCATTGTTTGGTTAGCCATTAGCCTAGCCTGGGCAAAGACTACCGTATTCTTTGGCCTATAAGTTGCGGGGTTTTTTTTCTTCATAATTTGCATACCCTGTGACTTATACGTCAAAGCTACGTATTTATGATTTTTTTCTTCCCATATTTATAAACCAATTTTTGGCTGAGATATGACTGTTTTCATTAATTCTGACTGAAAATATGGAACACTATCATTTTCAGCCACTAGATGGCACTCGAGTAGTATGGCATGCCGTTGTGTCATGTAATAGGTAAAAGTGGCTATTAATGACACAATTGGCTTGCCATAGCCTGCCACCGTCATCCAGCTGGCCTGGAGCAACCATCAAATCAGCTGCATTTCGCTGCGCCGCCCCGGTGAAATGCAACTGATTTGACCATTGAAGTGCATTTATTAAGTAAAAGTTCAACTGAGTCACATCTTTGCTATAATGTCAAGCAAACAAATAATTGTTTTTGTGTCAATCTTGTTAAATTCTTGTTAAAGTCCTCCAGTGCATGCTCCCGCGGCTGCCATTTGGCAGCCAATCAATTTTTGGCACAACACCGGCCCACATTTCCGGGTTGTCAGCGGTGACGCGTAACAAACGCAACGCATCAGCGGTGACGCATAATAAATGCAAAGCAACGCATTTATGGATTTTTCCACTTTATTAGACATATTTGGACTGATGCAACTTATAGGGCGGTGCGACATGTACGGCGGAAAATATGGTCTTTCTCTAAACTCTGCGCTCTATGACTGATGCTAACTATCGACCATCTGACAGAATATTACTTACAAATAACCAACCTATTCTTTTAAGTATTTGGCCGGAGTTTTGTTGTGTTTTATGAAAATGTGACTGGGAATATTGCCAAAATTTACCTAAATGCCTGAAAAATGTGCATTCATCATTCTCCATTTGATGTGTAGACGACTAACTTTAGGTGAAAAAATATGTTGTGGTTATTTCTAAGCAACGTCCTGTAGTAATTTATCCAATGATTTGAGACAGTAAAAAAAGAAATGTGAAATTTGTAAAAAAGTAACAAATAAATAAATAAAAAGTCTAAATTTAAGATTAATGAAATCATGCAGTACAGTTATCTAAGGTTTTCTCTGAAAGGTTTGTTTAAAGGAAGTGAAAACTTGCTCCAACCTTTAATTACATTTGCATACCCGTAGCATGACAAACATGCATTCTGAGCTAAATTAATTTAGTCAGGAATGCCATCAACTGAACGCTCAATTAATTAGTGTTGGGAATCGGACCACTAATGAGAAATCCACAGCTGGTTGAGGCTAATGTGAAGATGAATCAGTTTGAAGCATGTTGGGCTGAATGTGACGCAAGAAGAATCAAACTAAATAACTTTAAACTTGTTTGTCACGTGCTTTATTTCAATTTAAACGATGAAGCATGCAGTCCATCTCTATGTGTTAATAGCCTATCTGTGTCGTGGCCACTGTGCATATTGATTTAGATTTTATTCATTAAAAATGTCATGCTTGAAATAAAATAGATGAGCGCAGAAAAACAGGAAGTCTGCAAGAAGACTAAAATACAGCAGAGCCCTTTCAAAATATCAAAAATAATTGGCTAAAAATGATGATTTAGAGCGTCTGAAGTAAGGTTCTGAGGATAGAGTACGGACAGTAAATATCTTAACTGTCACAGATAACATTTTGAACAGCCCTGGTTTAAAAAAAATTGTCTAATTCTGACCGGACTTAGGAACTAATAGCTAGTTCCAGCAGGAACACAATCAAATATAATATTCCTGCAGAATGTGCTACAGCTATCTGCTGCTATTAGTAATTTGTCATAGTCTGTGTCTGTTTTATTCCTTGTGTTCATCTTTTAGTTTAATTCCCTTCGTGGCAGTGTTGTAGTCAAGACCACCTAAACCGAGACCAAGTCAAGACCAAGACCAGAGTGTACCAAGACCGAGGCAAGACCAAGACTTTTGGGATCCGAGACCAACACGGAGGGGGGTAGACCAAGTCAAGACCAAGACCTCAAGTCTTGGAGCTCAGTCTTTTCACAGATTATCTTATACTATACTGTCACGACATAGTGACAGTTTGAATAAATATGTAAAAAACATATGTAACCTTTATAAAAATATTTTTAATAAAAGTTACATACTGCAACATTAAGTTTGCTTTTGAATGAATGTATCAGCCTTTGTAAATTTTCAAAACTACATAAAAAAAGAAATCATTCAGTGATTTTTGCACAATAATTTTCATGTCATGTGACCCACTGACACAAAACTTATGTTAGACTACTCTACTAGAGCTGACAGACAAAACAGCCACATTTATTTCTTATTTTAAAGCATCTTCTCATTTTACATAATTTATTTGTTCAAAAATCATGGTTTTCACTCAATAACTAATTAGAAAATGATTTAAAATGAGAAATAAATGATGGTGTCTTGTGTGTCAGGTCTATTAGAGTGGTTTAACATTAGTTTTATTTCAATGGATCAAATGATGTAAAATATATTAATTTTTGTTTCTGAAGAGTGTTTGGTTCGGTAATTTGTTGATGGTTCCTAAGTGAACTATTACGTCTCATAGGAGGGGCAGACTGAGCTCAGCTGACCGAAATCCGACTGCCTGCTTCGGATCGAACGAGAGGAACACACCGCTGAAGCCATGGAGCTCGAATATCCAACATCCAACGTAAAATTAACTTCACCGCAGTAGAGAGCTGAGGCTCCAGCACAGAACAAACAGTTCAGAAACAATTTGAAATTAGAAAAAAAAAAAAAATTATCCACTGATTAAGTCGTGGTTTAGACTGCTTATTGCTAGAGAATCTCTTCCAGGTACTGCGTACCGGCGCAGAATCTTTTAGTGGTACGCAGTACCGGACTGTACCAGCTTACTTTCACCCCTGGTTGCGACGTTATGTTCTGTTCTGTAATGTTCTGTTGGTACAGAACCATGTGCAAGTGAATGGGGGTGGGCGTGACAGCGGTAACTAAAACATGTATTTAGCAATGGGTCACGTTATCACTTGGATTTGAACCAGTACGTTTTGCATCCAATAAAAACAAAGATTTTAACAAATAAACTGGACAATATTCTGACAGTTTAGTGATATTTCCACAGTTGTGGTCTTGACTGGTCTTGAAATAAAATCCAGAGTTCTCAATGTCCGAGACAAGACCGAGACCATCAAAACGTGGTCTTGAGACCAATCTCAAGACCAAGACTGGTCTCAAGTATCACAACACTACTTTGTGGTTTATGTTGTATTTTCCTGTTTTTTGAGTTTCTTGTGTTTTCCTCCAGTTCGGTTCTCCCCAGTGTTTTCCCCTCCTGTACTCAACTCCTGCTCCTCCCATGCTCACCTGATCCTCGTTGTCTCCCCAGATGTTTGCTATTTTTCCCTCGTTAGTGTCCTCTAACAATCAGCCCCTTGGCTTCATTTCCTCGTCCTGGCATTAAGCTGTAAAGCTGTGCCATGTTTGCTTCCTTCATGCTTTCCCAACCATTTCTTTGTGAGTAGTTTGTTGCCACATCAGCTCTTCTATTTTTCTCTTGAACCACTCTCCGAGCTTTTTCGTCTCTTCCCTAAAGTTATGTTTGCAAATAACTACCCAAGCTTACACAAATAACTGTTTAATGAGAAATTGAGGATATCGTAAATATTTTTAAACTAGTGTTTGAATGAACCATTGTAGATTGAAGTTCTGTTGAAGCAGTAGCAAACCACAATAGATTTCCTTGAACTAGCCGTTAGCGTATCACTCTGGTCAGACTTATTTAAGGCATGCCGTTGTATCATGTATTACGTAAAAGTGGCTATTAATGACACAGTTGGCCTGCCATAGACTGACACTGTCGTCTGCCTGGAGCAACCATCAAATCAGCTTCATTTTGCTGCGCCGCCCCGGCGAAATGAAACTGATGTGACCGTCAAAGTGCATTTACTAAGTAAAAGGTCAACTGAGACACACCTTTACTATAAAGTTAAGCTAACAAATAATTGTTTTATTGTGGTTATCTTGGTTAATTTAGAAGAAATGCACAGCGAGTCGACTTCTGCACGTTCATGTTTCCGCATATCGGCTGTAGAAAATGCAGCTGATTTGACCATCAAAGTGCATTTATTAAGCAAAAGTTAGACTGTGACACACCTTTACTATAATTTCGAGCAAACAAATAATTGCTTTTAAGTGTTAATCTTGTTAAATTCTTGTTAAAGTCCTCCTGTGCACGCTCCCACGGTCACCATTTAACAGCCAATCGATTTTTGGTACAACACCGGCCCACATTTCCCAGTTCGGCCCACATTTCTGGGTTGTCAGCGGTGACACGTAACAAACTCGACGCGTCAGTGGTGACGCATAATAGATGCGACGTATACGACAAATTACATATTTATGGACTTTTCCACTTTATTAGACATATTTGAACTGATGCGATTTATAGGGCGGAGCGACATATACGGTGGAAAATATGGTAAACTCTGTTTCTCCAAATTGACTTTGCCTACAACAGGTAAAATATTAATTAATTATAATCTTGCCACATTTAAAAAAATGAGCTGTGACTTGTAAGGGCCACCTTTTGAATGTCCTTTAAATGTGTGAGGTTTAGGTATTAACTTTGTGCGTTCTGTCACTGCTAACAGTTAACCATCTTGTCTTCCAATGTTTAAGTGCCAGGTGAGTATTACAATGACACGTTGTAATTTTACCTCCTGTCATGTGAGTTCAGACTCCGGTGGTCATTTTGTCTGGAAGGCTGGATAAAATCTAAAGGGTTACTACAGAACCCGCAGCGACAGGAGCTCTGGTGTCGCTGCGTTTAGCTCAGGGAACTTAAAGGTCAGAAGGAGAACGGTAGCGACTGGCTGCAGCCAGAGACGGTCCAACCATGACATGCATGATCCCCTGAGGCAGCGGAATTACTCTGAGAACGATCCGCACGACTATCCTGACAGGCTGCTGAGGAACGAGAAAAAACGAGTTGCAGGTAGACACTGTAAAACTTGTTTCTTCCGGGCCTGGCTAACCTTTGGTTCTCAGTGAGGTTAAGATGGCGTTTGATGTCCAGCAAGGCCTCCTTGAGGAAGGTCAGTCTCTTGACTTCGTGCTGCTGGCACTGGTCAAACACCTGCTCCATGCTCTCCATATACTGCGGGGTGCACTTGTTCAGCTCATCCAAAGACTTCTCATACTTCTCTTTAGCCTGAAAAAGAAAAAAACAGTGTTATTTCTATTTAGTTAACATCCTCCCATTTTCCTCTTCTCAAACTGAAACTACCAGAGGACTTTATGGTGTTTACCTTCTGCGCGTCCTGTTTGCACTTGTCCACTTTCTCGTGAAGTTTCTTTTGTTGGTCTGGTGTGACAGAAGCCTCAGTTTTGCCGTTGGCCTCTCTGGCTGCAGCTAGCTTCTCCTCCTTGCAGGCCATATGGTACGTTTTCTTAGCTGCCTCCATCTGCACGTCCAAAAGCAGGCATTGTCACAGACGCACAATCTGATGTTCCCAAAGAGACTCAGAAGAGGAAAACTACTTATCTTCAGTTTAAAATGGTCATCGCAGCAGTGGTTTGTACAAATGTTGATCTTAAATGTGGCGTGGTAGTAGCTGAGAGTCAGCCCTAACACACAGTCTGAGCACTAACAGATTGCACAAATCACCGTTGGCATGAACGGTGGCAAGTAATGGACATTCAGCCTAGGAATGCTACTTTAATCTTTATTAGGAGTTCAATATCTACGAGTGGACACAGAGAACTGTAAAATGACTGACTTTGAGATAGAATGAGAATAAAATAATAATCAGGATTATTGTTTTTACATTCACAAGCTCATTACTGTAAACCAGTGGTGAAGCGTGACTATAAGAGTTAGGCCTTCAGTCAGGAAGTAATGTAACAACCTCAAACAAGCTGACATTAAAGAAATTATGGAGTCGCAGTTTGATCACATCACTTTACTTTTAGTTCACAATTCAGGAGCTCGCTGAACAAAATGTGCTTTCTCCCTTCTTATGCATAAAGTAAAACATCTGACTTATAATGCCATTTCTTTCACAGTCACTAAAACAACCTGAACGTAAATGTCAACACTAAACAGAACAGCCAACATGGACAACCCATCTGAACACACAGCCTGATAAAGTCCACCTATTTCTGTCCCAAGACTACCCAGAAGCCCCTGCAGCTCACCCAGTCCCTGGCGTTCAAGTACAACATGTAAAGAAGTTTCTTTTGGCTGTTCCCTTCTGTAGGGTTTGCTGCAGTGAGTGAACAAGTCTGTGGCATTGAACCACTGAGCTACACCACAACCACATAATTTCAACAGTTCACACTGAAATTTAACAATAACCCACAAAAATGACTGTTTCTGTAAAACTTGATCATGTTATGAAACCAAAATACAACTGAAAAATAAAAAAGTTATCAATATAAACATTAATGTGTTCACTTTTTAAAAAAAAAAGAATAACTATAATTTCAGTGGCTTTTTGACTTTACGTGTTGCAGTTGAATGCATCACAAACATTTACGTGGTCAAAAGAAAACTCCTCGCAGGGCCTTCCCGAAGGCTCAGAGTCCTGTTTTTGTCCCACCGATTCATGAGGACTGTGACTGGTTCATATTCCTGTCAGTTGTTAAAGAAAATCCTCCTGTAAAAACTTTAACAGAGCTGAGCCTTCTCTCCTGCCAGTGAAGTCCTAACCAATGAGACACCTCCTTTCAAACATGTTTCTGCCTGGAGACACGAACTTGAAATAATCTGATTGGATATCTACGTTTTTATGAAATCAAACGTTTCTAACTCAACTGCAAAGTAATTTACAGAAAAAGTTTGGGAATTTTTGGTCACTTTTTAATGGATATTTTTATTACTATGTCTGCTATGTTTGGGATAGCAGAGAGAGCTGGATGAGGAGCTGGGTGAGGCTGCAGCGTGATGCTGCAGCGTGAAGCTGTCGCTCCAACGACGCCTCAGAGTCTGTGAGCTCGGCTGAACTGATAAGTGTATAAAAACAAGCTGCGCACACAGCTCGTGGCAGATTCTCGTGACTGGGCTTCGTGTGTACTTCCTGTATATCTACGTAACCTGTCCTGAAAATCTGACCTTGCAAGTAAAATATTGTTTAAAATCTTCTCCTGCTGTCGAGTGTGGCTCCTTTTGAGTAAGTAAAATAAAGCGAGAATATTTGTCTCCAACAGAAAATAAGAGAAATTTTCAAAAAATATAGTTTACCAAGTAGCTTTTGAACCACAGACCAGACTGAAGATCTGTTTTTACGTCCTCTTTGAAAAAGGCACACGGACTGGTTGTGTTGCCAAGAAGGGTTTGAACCCTCTATTAATCAAGACTTGGACTCACCCAGAAAAGGTGAAACCATCAGGTTGTGGTGGCTGAATTTCTATATTCCACATTACCTGGTCTGGTTGTGACACTACTGTTACATGAGGCTCCCCCTGCTGTCAATCGTAACAAAACTTCTTGTTCTGCGTTTCTGTCTGAATACAATAATACCAGCACATAAATATTCTACTTTGTAAATAATGGACTTTTCAGTTTTAGAGTTAGGATTAACTGGATTAAGTCTGTCGGTGAGTTTTAATTGTTCAAACCTTTGCCTTAAATTAAAGTTTAGTAAATTAACATTAACATTAGCAGGACTAAGCATTTGCTTTCCTTCTGAATATATCTGAACTAATGTCAGGACACTTCAAGAAGAGGGTAGTTATTAACCCTCCTTGGGTCAAAATGACCCACGAAGCCTTAAAACTGAAGTCTAGTGGGTCATTTTGACCCAAGAGTCAAAATCAAATCAGTTTGAAATGAACAGACGTTTTTAGACCATGTTTTAATTACACTTATTGTGAAAATATTTTGTGTTCTCTGTCTGTAATGACAGTCAGACACAGACTTGTTGTAAATGATCTCCATCTTTGTCACACGTGTTGATGCTGATGTTTGGATCATCGTACAGCTCTGATATTGTACGTTGAAGATCTGTTCTGCTGAACGTTTTCCTCATGGATATTTTGTTGGCAACATTTGATTTGCATTTTAGATGAACTGGTGGACTGAATGTCATTCATTGGAATCGATATCTATAACAGAGATGACAGACACAACAATAAAATAGAAATAAATACCGGTACGAAAAGCATTGTGTTTGTCATGATTGTAACTATAATCTGTACACTGACTGCAGCTAAAGTCAGTGCTTCGAAGTTCTTAACCAAAATAAATCGGTGCTGTTTTGAAACTGTTTAAAACTGTTGTTTTTAAAACTGTTTTCCAGTTTTAGCTTCTCTCCATTGGTTCCCTGTCAATTCAAAATGTATTTCTATATCTTACTTCTAACTTACAAAGATCTCAACAACCTAGCTCCATATAGAGATCTACTATATTTGTTCCATATTTTCCTAACAGAGCACTTCGCTCTCAGACTGCAGGCTTACTCGTGGTTCCTAGAGTTTCCAAAAGCAGAATGGGAGGAAGATCTTTCAGTTCTCAGGCTCCTCTCTTGTGGAACCAACTTCCAGTTTGTGTCTGTGAGGCTGACACATTGTCCAGTTTTAAGACTGGACTTAAAACTTACCTTTTTGATAAATCCTATAGTTAGGGCTGGCATGTTATACTGCCACAGGCTTAGACTACTAGAGGACAAATTAACCTAATTTTCTTAAATGAAATATTAAAATTGAATAGTTTTCATTTGATACTATTTCTATCTTAACATGTGATTCTTGAGCTGCCATTGTGTATCTGTTCCTCTCAAACCCAGCCGGTCGGAGCAGATGGCCGCTTGTTCTGAGCCTTGTTCTGCTAAAGGTTTCTTCCTAATAAGGGAGTTTTTTCTTTCCACTGTCGCCTTCATGCTTGCTCAATATGAGAGTCTGTGATGGAGTTAAACTCAAAGCAGTCTGCTCCTCAGATAAACAATGTTAAATTAATATTTTTATACATGAATGCTTCTATTCAGTGCCCTGAGACGACTTCTGTTGTGACTTGGCGCTATATGAATAAACTGAACTGAATTGAAATGAATTGAATTGTTCTAGAGTAGACCCAAACATGTAAACGTGTTTTAATCAATAAACTGCCTCTGAACCAACTCAACATTTTCGCCCTACATTCCTGTAAGACAACCATCGTGATAAACTCCTGGACTTATCTGTTTCTCTCACCTCCTTGAGCTTCTTGGCCCACGGTTTCTGAGCCTTCTTGAAGCCTTCCTCTGCTTCTTTAGCCTCTTTGAAGCCTCCGATCATCTGCTTGTGATACGCCTCTTTCTGCCAGTTCTTGACTTTCTCCACGTCTTCGTTCACCAGGTTGTTCTTCACATCCTGGTGCAGCTCGCTCACCTTCTCCGCCTCGGTCATCACACCCAGCCAGGCTTTCTCCACGGAGCCGTACTGCGGACCTGAGTGGAGCGCACAAAACGATTCATTTCAAACTGAAACGTTTTGTTTTACTTATTTATTTCAAGAACTATCTCAAAACCCCAAACTCCACCTTTCTCAATGAGTTGTCTCCATCTCTTGGACCAGGCCGTCAGCTGATCACCGTAGGCTTTTTCTATCTTGGCGCGCTCCTGCAGGCAGCCCATGAGGTCGTTGCAGAGCCGGTGGCCGTCGTCAAATCTCTTGACAGCACGTTTGTAGTTCCCCACCTGAGCACGGACACACAAACAGGTGGAAAGAGGATAAATTAGAAACACCACGTGTTGTGATCAAGATGTTGTCAAGGCTTGAGCAGAGATTTGTCAGAAACTGAGCAGAACACACACCGTCCCTTTGAGAGCAGAGAGACTCGCAGCATCATAACGTACCAACAAATGATCTGAAAGTTAAAAAAACTATCCCTGAGATCTGAGGACAAACGCATCCTCCTAGTTTATCTACATCTGAGGCAATAAATGAGAATTCAAAAAACATCTCAAGAACTCAAGGGGTGGGAAATCTGACAGTGACATTTCTGAGGGAATTTACCACAAGCTTTTCATTAGACTTCTCTTAATAATCCATATCTGTCATATCACCTTTAATATTATCCGTGTCTTAAAGATAGTAGTGCTTCTATTGTCTATTCTATTGCTTCTATTGTCCATTCTATTGCTTCTATTGTCCTTTATTGTGTGAATGTTTATGAAGCATTCACACTATTGTGATACATTTATTTCCTCGTATGTTTGTCGGCATATTTCTCATTACTCTTACCCTTTAGCTCTTTCAGGACAATCCTGCTATGGCTTTTGGTATTGGTGCAACTTTAGCTTTTTGAAATATTTAGCCTTTTCTGTCACTTTTTTTCTCATAGGAAATGAATTGAGCTCATTTTACATCCTTCGTATCTTTAGATGTGTTTACAACCTTTTACTGCTCCTGTCACATTTTGTTCTGGTTCAGCTTCTTTCAGCTTCCTTGTGCAAATTTAAACTTTTTTTGCAGCTACTTTCAGCTACTTTTAGTTGTTTTTTTCAGCAGTTTTGTTCCCCTTTCAGCTTCTTTTGGCTAACTACAACATTTGTGTGCTTCTTCTAACTTCTTCCTGCTAATTTCAGCTTTTTAGACTCCTTTCAGTTTATTTCTGCTAGTTTCAGCTTTTTCTGATATTTCAGCTACTATTTAGCAGTTTAATGCTAATTTCACCATTTTCAGCTAAATCCAAATTTTTGGCATTCATTTAAAAAAAATATGATTAATTCAGCAAAAATGTGCTCTCTACACTTCCTTTTGGTCATTTAAGCTTCTTTTTGCTGTTTTAGCTACTATTCAGCTGGGGTTTTGTTGTTGTAAATTTTTGCTTTTTTTAGACAATTTACAATTTTTGTGCTCATTTCTGCTTCTTTAAACCTAAATGGGCAAATTGTGCTCTCTCCACTTTCTTCTGGTAGTTTAAGCTTATTTCTGCCTTTTCCACTATTTGTTGTTAATTTAAACTTTTGTAGCTAATTTACTAATTTTTGTGCTAATTTCTGTTTATTTAAACCTAATTCAGTAAATATGTGTTCTTTCTGCTTTCTTCTGCAAATTTAGACTTGTTCTTCTTCCATTGCAGGTACATTTCAGCATGTTTTTACCTAATTTCAGCTGTTTTTCAACAACTTCTTCAGCAATAAGCATTCACACTGCATTGTCACCCATCCATCCATCCATTATCTTTACCCGCTTATTCCATTTTTGGTGACGGGGGTCGCCGGTGCCCATGTCCAGCAATCACTGTGCGAGAGGCGGGGTACACCCTGGACGGGTCGCAAGTCCATCACAGGGACACATAGAGACAAACGAGACAAACAACCATTCACTCTCTCACTCACACCTAGAGCCAATTTATAGTTACCAATCAGCCTAACATGCATGTTTTTGGTCTGTGGGAGGAAACCGGAGTACCCGGAGAAAACCCACGCATGCACGGAGAGAACATGCAAACTCCACCCAGAAAGGCCCCTGGACCGGGGTTTGAACCAGGGACCTGCTCGCTGAGAGGCAGCAGCTCTACCAGTTGCACCACCGTGCTGCCCGCATTGTCACAGGAAATGCAATTTTTCTAGTTGTTGGCAGTGTATATGAGTATGTGTGTGATTGTCTGTCTGCTAACAAAATATCCCATGAAACAGTGGACAGATTTTAGTGAAACTCTCAGACAATATTTATTGGAGGTGCATCTCCAACTGATTGACTTTTGGAGTCAACCAACTTAAAGATGGCCACCACCGCCACCTGCACCCATTCAACTAAAAATAGCTCACTGCATAGCTCAGTTGGTGTTAAGCTAAAATTCACTGTAGAAGTTGAGCATCATCCCCAACACATACCCAAAGCTATTCTGCAGGATCATAGCTCTTAATGTTGCCATTACCAGTTGACATTGACAATGTCAATGTCTGTTAGCAAAATATCACAAGAACCAGTGGACAAATTAAAATTGAACTGTCTGGAACTAATAGATTATATAATATAATAGATTGGAACTGTTAGATATATATCTACAACTGTTAAACCTTTGATGTCACTCCATTTTATGATGGCCATCACAGCTAATCAAAATGAACCAACACAAAAATCACTATAATGCAGTCATTTTTACAGCTACTGGGCTACAAACTGGTGTGGTGGTAGCAGAGAGTCATCCTGAACACATACTTTGAGCACTAAAAGAACACCTTGTAACACTGCATGAGATTATGGGTAAGTCATTTAGAGGGTTTGAACAAAAAGGAGGTGCGGGGGGGTCCACAATTTAAGCAGAGCTTTATACTCAAATTATAGTTTGTTTTCCCACAAGTAGACTGCAAAATGTAAACACTAGAAGCAGTTAAATGTTATTTGCTCTTGGGCCTGAAAAGATGCGAGCGGTCTCACCATCACACAGAATAAAGTATTTTAGGATCAAATGCTGTGTGTCTGACACTGTTTAATAAAATAGACCTATGTGCATCTACCTCCATCTATTAATTCAAGCATCTTTCCACCTTAAATGAAACCACCTTAAAGAACAACACAGCAGCAGGATGAGTGACTCCATCTCTTCAGTGCCTGCAGGCGGCGTGAGCTCATGCTGCATGATGAAGTGGGGGGGGGGGGGGGGACTCGTGCTTGTGCATGTCTAGTTATGCAATAACATGGGCTTGTGTTTGCATATGTGTGTGTCCGTGTACACGCCGCAGCTGCTTTAATTCTCCTGAGTGGTGTAATGCAGTCAGACAGATTCTCAGGAATGGATGACGAGCTAGAGACAGAAATACCATGGACCTTCTCTCTCACAGTGTGTGTGCACGCGCGTGTGTGTGTGAAGGACATGCTGCACGTATAGCATCATCCAGACTCAGGCTGACATGTTTGCAGGCTGCAGAGCTGCGCTGTGATTGGTCCAGACTCAGGCTTACATGGTAGTATCGGACATGAAAGCTGCAGGGAGGCGGTGAGACAGGTGTTTGACCGTATGACTGTTGTCCTGTGTGACACACTGCCAAGTCACGCCAACAACAACACATAGGTGGACTGCTTTTCCATGAAAACAGCAGAGCTCCTGTGTCTGCACTGTACCTTTAAGCATGACTGTGCCCCATCCTTGTTGCATCAAATAAAAGCCTGCTTCTTGGGAAAAATGGAGGATAACACTTTTTTTTGACACGTATAAGTTATGATCTGACCTGTGCTGCTAGACTGTGGATGCTGCATGCAGGTGCAAGAGAAAGCTGCCTCAGAGTGGCTGATGATCGAAGCTCTTTGTCTGAGAGTCTCTGTGCCACAAAGACGCCTCTGTTCTCAGGGAATTCATTATCGCTAATTTGTGGGTTTAAATCCTACACACATTAACACACACAGCTACAGTTATCTTTATCCGCTTCTTCCTTTCAGGTCATGGGGGTCACTGGTGCCCATGTCCAGCCATCACTGCGTGAGAGGCAGGGGACACCCTAGGAAGGACTACAGTCCATCACGGGGACACACAGAGACAAACGAGACAAAACCATTCACTCTCTCACTCACACCTAGGAACAATTTAAAGTTACCAATCAGCCTAACATGCAT